CTTGATGACAACGCGACGTGGATGATAACGATGGGCAAGAAAGTTGCATTTTTGATGGAGTCTGCGTCATAGGTGGAGGATGTTGCCTCCTTAATGAAGCAGGAGGTTCACAATCAGGGGACATATCAATAGTGATGTTTGGTGACTTATTTCTTCATCGGAGAGATATCTTCACAAGCCAATTGATCAAATAGGGTATTTGGCTCAAAATCCAATTTGTCATTGTATAAATCCACAATCTTCGATAGATTTCCGTCCATCAAATGGTCTAAAATTAAATCAGCAGTAATTCAAACCCCTAATAAAGAAGAAAATGACATTTCAACACTGAATAGTGTCAAAATAGCTAATAAAACACAAATAACAAAATGTAACAATATCACGTGTTATGACCGATGTTGTATGATCTTGAGTATTCATTTTTGACAGAAAATAATTATGAAACTAATGCTTCAATTTCCAAACCTTCCATATTAGGAGTGTCTGTAGGTTTACTTATCAGTAAACTTACGGACACTTGTATCTTATCAAATAACATAATATTAAATATTCCAATACAATTACTAAAAATTCATTGACTTACATGCGGAGGTGCCAGGATCAAAAAACCCAGCCATCCTTCATCTGGCTTTCGACGAACTGACAGGACGGAACGCGCGCGCAAGTGCAAAACTATTTTTTGTCTCATTCATAAGTAGATTTACGATAGATCAAAACCAGTTTTTGTGTTAAGGCCGCGGTCCCTTGAGACCGCTAGGGGATTGAGTGGTTAATGTAACTGAAGATGAATGTCAATTATCCAAAATACATTATCTTTATATCAGAAAAGATGTAGCCAGTAGGTCGGGTTTAGTATCAAGTCGCCTGAATTTGAGGAGTCTTATCTCAAGTGCCCCCATGCAATTTAAGGTACCAGAGCTGCATCAAAATATTTAAAAACATTTTCTAAAAATATTCATAAATCACTAGTAAATACACAAAACAGAACACACATTAGACTAAATTATTCAATTTTTTAAGTTGGATCTGTCAAAATACATAAAATGGTGCCCTTAATACAAAAACACATAGAAACGGGCACCAAAATTCAAACAGATTTTTGGAGAACATATAACTGCTTAGCGCAACATCGGTACACCTACCAAAAAAGTCAACCATTAGGACCCTGACAATCCATTTGTGGCTCCAGACGGGACTCACACACTAAGGATTGAATCACAATGGAAAGCTGTGAAAAAAAATTACAATAATCCATAGTAGAATTTTAATGATGCAATAGTGGAGTACTTGTTACTTGGTAGCGGAGTAGTGGAGTAGTTGGAGTAAATGGTGGACTTGATAAAATATGTTTACTTATTAAATTAAATAGAGTAAATGGGGCCCTACATTTTTTTACTGCTTATAATATTTATTTATTTGCTTTTTAAGGGAAACATACAGTACAATAAAAAAATACATTAAAGTTTCCACAGATATCTAATACATATTAAAAGCTTGCAACCACAATATGTTTAAAGATTTAAAAAAAATATAACTAAATGGTATTTATAATTAAACATTAAGTACTAAGCAGTTAAAAGTAATATAATAGTAGTAGTAGTAGTAGTATATACTTTATTGTACACCACACATATACAACGAATAGATACATTACAGAGAAAACTTAATATATATGTATGTACAATAAGGTGGTCTTATCGCTAAAGAGCGATCTCTTCCAGACAACCTTTGGGCTAAGGAGAAACTGGAATTAAGAACAGTAGGAGGTGGTGCGTTTTATGTTACATTTACATTCTAATATCTAAATAAACTAAACTATATTTGTTAAAAATACCACAATAGTACATTAAAAAAAATAATAATATACATAAAAAAAAAATATATATATATATATATATATAAATATATATACGCATACATATATATATATATACATAGATAATAAATAAATAAATAAATACAAAACAAAGAGAAAAAAAAAAGAAAAACACAGAATAATACATACAACCTATAGTGAAGCTACTAATTATAATTTTTTTTCTATACAACGTTCCATTTATATTACCAAAATTATAATAATGAACTTAACTAAAGTAATAATTAAAATTGTAATATTTACGAATAAAACTAATTATGGTACAATATAAAAGAAGAAACTATAATATAGAAAAACTAAAAATTTAAATAGTCAAAAAGACCTGCTCCCTGCAAGAAGTGCCAAGAACACTGCCTACGTTTCCTTGCTGAATAGCTATACTTAGCCTTTGAGCGAGGAAAGAACCAGCCCTCTTATCATCAGCAGCGACAACCAGTCGTGGATACTGTTCCTTTAGAACCTTCACTGCACGTGGACCCCACGGACCGATAGTCTCTACAGCAAATGGCACTAATATGTAGTCATTTCTCAAAGACTCATATTTTCGCCATTTACTAAATTCAGCTGCCTCTGATGCCGCCCTGGCTCTAAAAGAGGTACCCTTGAGATGAGAGGCCGCCAAAGTGTCAACGCAAGTAGCATCCCGCACTAGGGCTTTACCTCTCTCCCAAGGGACCAAAGTCATACCGTCGGGTCTTTTGCCATCGTCTCTAAACATCCCGCAGGGCTCTAAAACCGAGGGGATATTTATGGAGACAAGAGCCCTTTGGATGATTTAGTTCAAAGAACTGTGACGGGAAAACCTACCTGCACTTTTCTTGCATGAAAGTCCATGGAGCCCAAACTCATCGACGCTGCTACCACAGGGGCACTGGTGAGGTTGACAAATTGCCACTCCTAGCCGGATCCCTACGGCAATGCGGAAGCTTTCCCCATCAAGCAATGTGCCGAGATTACTTGATGGTAGTAGAGCATGTAACCAATGGCTAGATTCCTTAGTCGAAACAGCCAGAAGGCGAGCCTGATCTTGTTGAATGTAGAAATTTTGAAATAAATTTTTCTGGACACTCCGTACCAACGGAATATCCCACTGTTTTTGTTGGTTAACTTCCAGTGGGACATTTTCGCTGGGGCAGAGTGTTAGCCATGTTTGCCTTGCCTCCGCAGCAAAGCACAGGTCTACTTTATTATTTAAAATTGTGTTACATAGATCATTGACACTATGCACGGAAGCAAGGAAAGCAGGCAATGCGACGCTAGAAATATTTCTTAAACCAATACCACCAATTTTGATAGGTAATGTGGCTTGATTCCAGGCCATTGATTTAATCTCAAATTTAGAATTTTTTCTAAAGCAATTTTAAGATTACTATCAATATCTTTTAAAATATCTGAACATTACTAGACTGGACTTGAGCGTAACAAGTATGTAAATTTAGGTACACGCAGACAATATTTTAAAATGGTAAGGGCAATATGGGGTTTATAATGTATAAGTTATCAACGTCACTTAAAAATTGATCAAATTTTGTTTTTAAAACAGGTTTAATACTATCGAAAAACAATGGAGTACCAAGCAGGTAAAGCGATTCCGAATTGACAGTTTTTATTCCTGGAGAAATCTGATTGAAATTTTGAATTAAGGTAATTAATTTTATTATGGAAAGTCAGAATGTGTCAAAAAAGGCACATAATGCAATTCACAATGCTGTGTTAGTCCCTACATTAACATATGGTAGTGAAACTTGGATGTGGCAGAAGAAGAAGTAGAATAAACGCAGTAGAAATGCGGTCGGTTAAGGAGTATGTTAGGGCTGAATCTGAGTGACAGGGTGAGAAATTGTGTAATAAGAGAAGAGTGTGGTTTGCAATATGATGCTGTGACCAGGATTAAGAAAGGAATGCTTTGGTGGTTTGGTCATGTGTAAAGAATGAATGAGAAAAAGTAACAAAGCAAATTTATATTGCAGAAGTGAAAGGCAGGGTGGAAAAGGGAGGTCCTAGGTGAAAGTTTATGGACCAAATTGGCGATATATTGAAAATGGGCCAAATTAACAGTACCCTTAACCAACAAGCATGTATGCATAGGTGTATGGATGTGGAGTAGGCGAAAGAGGTGTGTCAGGATCGTGCCAAATTGAAGTCTGTAGTCTCTGCCTAGCCCTCTGGGTGACAGGTTTGAGTGTTTATGTTTATATATGTTATGTTATTAAAGTAGTTATAAAAGTTAACATTTATGTATGTATGTATTATTTGTTGTAAGATCGAGCGAAGCGATCTTCAAACCGGTTGGGTTCACGGCGTTCCATTCTCTTCATAGTTACTTTTTATAAAAAATAGAGTTTCACATGGAGGGGCTCCGTCAATTAAACTTTAATATTAATTAGGCAGGGTGGGCGTCATCTCTCCGCCTCACTATTAAGATGAATTTTCTTGAAAATCATTCAATAAAATTTTTAATCTTTAACATTTAATATAAAAAAAAAACTATGCATCTTTGGCGGGGGGAAAAGATGGGCGTGAAACTCTACCCCTCTCCACCCCCATACCTACTGCACCCTACACCTCTATTAAAGTGCCTTAATACTAAACCTTTACCTAGCCGGTTACTACTAGGTCAAGGAGCAGCTTAAGTAGTTCAGGTCACCAAAACCATAAACATTTTCATAATAGGATGCTCCTAGTCTGCCACCAGAGGTTATTAAATTAAAAGGAATATCTTGCAATTAGTGTAGTCAATAACTTACCACTTGAAATATTATTCCTTATCTTACCAGCATCAATATATTCCCTATTATTGAAAGACCAACATTGGCAGAGCAGACAATATCTACTACTTTGATCTATCTTCTTTGGTTCCCCCTAAAAGTGGTCCCCCTTCCTTCAACATCTTCTATCCACTTCTGCAATTTCTACTTAAATTTAAAAAAAAGTTAGAGAAATAACCTTAAAAATTGATTACTCTTTTTCTCTTAACCTTCTCTAATTACGCTATAGGCCACAGCAGTGCACTGCATTTTGGAGAAAGACATAGGCAAGAGGATGGTCCAACCCAAACAGACACCAAGACAAAATGGAGCCCTACAACTTAAAATTGTTACTATTAACATCAACTACACTATACCTGCCAGATGAAGAAGAAGATGTAGTACCGCCTGAAGAAGATGATGAGACACTAGACGAACTGGAGCTTCTCGACGATGAGGAGCTTGATACAATTTTTTTCTTGTCTTTACGAATATCTTTGTTCGAGTCCATTTTTAGTTGCAATTCTAATTCACGTTGCAATTGTTGCCTTCTTTTCTCTAACACATCGGTGTCAGCATATTCTAGGTCATTTTGATCCCAATTATCAATTTCTCCGTCAGGGCTGCGACCGGTTCTAACTACGACGGTCGAATGTAGTCTACTTTTAGGATCATCTTTTAACAAACGTTTATGCTCACTTTCCTTATTTGCCGCACGTTGTTTTGATGGACTTATTAGAGTATGAGTAGCAGCAAACTTGCAATTTTTACCATATGCGCAACTGCCGTGTTGTGCCCACTGTCTACAATATTCACTTGTTTTTTTAGCACTTGTACTGGAATTTTTTTTGGTACCGAGTCGCTCAAAAACACTAGGTCTATTCGCTAGGTCCTTTGTTTTCGGTAATTCGACAGTGATTTTTCTTTTTCCTTGTTTTGACATTATAAAGGAAAAACATTGGTCTCACTAAGTTTACAATCGATTAGGAAAAACACACTTAATTTATATCGTTTAAGTTATTGCATTTAATAACAAATGTAATACAGTTATTAATAAGTAAAAATAATCTATTAGACAACAAATATATAGTTTTCAATAGGTAAATCAAATGAATAAAACACAGAAAGAATTAAAAAAATATTTTAAGCTTTCGCCATTTTACCGTGATTTTTTTTATTAACTGGCTTTACAGCTTTGGGTTCTAGCCCTTGTGAGCATACCATTTTTTTCGGAATCTTCATTTTATATTCTTTTCTTGACAATATGCTGATGAGGTGATGAGTCACATTGCGAAGCCGTTGTGAGATTTTGACTACAGCTCAACCTAGACAATTGAAGACGATAGCCACTCAAGTTCCTGCGCCGATGGCTAGCCACCGTTAAAACGGGCCGCTTTGGCTGAAATTCGGTCTGGAGCACATTATTATTATTATAGATACGAATAGTATTTTGTTTGTCCAGTATTTACTTTAACGTTTCATTTTTTATCGTGTCCAAACAGTTAAAAAAGGTTCTGACTTTTTGCGTGAAAGAATGCAAAAGTGAATCATACAAAGGATGTAGTGTATCTTTTCATAGGTGAATAATTTTTGTAATGCTTGAAGTAGGTCCCCATATTTATTTTAGTTAAAGAAAGAGTTATTATATATTTTTTTCTATAAAATCAAGGATATTATAATATATTTCTATAAGAAGTGGATTATAATATCTTTGATTTTAGTCTACTAAAATCTTTTAGCTTTCTACGTTACTAAAGTGATTTATGTTATGAGTTAATGTTTTGTTTCGACAGAATGCGGTGTTACATAAGAGTGTTGGTGTGCATATTTATCTTTTATATACAACGCTTAATGACATATTTTCAAAGCTATTCCTATTATCCGTTAAACATTCAATCCGCATCTGCAGGCTTACTTTTGAAAACAATTCCGATCGATCGGGATTGAAATTAATAAATAATTTATTACTTTGCAACCTTCCGCTAACTAATTACAATGATATGTCTTACCTGGATTGAAGAGCACCTCACACCTTCCCTCAATTGCATGCACTAACTCCGTCACCACTAGTCCCAGCATCACTACTTCCAACACCACTACTCCCGGCACCACTACTTCCAACACCACCATTCCAGGCAAGACACACCATCGACGACAATACGACTCGTGTTTCGCCTCTACACGAGGTATCCTCAGGTAATGTAGACTCTACGGCGACTGTTTCAGGTATACAAAAAGTACTCTGTGAGCGTCTGACCGCTAAGTGAGCGGCGAGTTTTTTTTTTTTTTGCGCCCGAAGCAAATATGGGCAACCCTCCGGAAAGCGGGGGAGGAGGGAGGTTGGGAATGCTCATAGCATACCACGCAGCCGGCTGTGTGGTTATGTGGTGACTTTTACCCACTAAACCCAACCTTTTAGGAACTGGCTTAACGATCTGACTAGAGATCTCTAAGCCGTATACGAACGCGACCCTCCTTGGCAGAAAGGAGGGCGCAAATCAATGAGCGGCGAGCCGAAACAGCTGCTATTTATACACGCCGACACAACCACTCCCAACCAAAGTAGCGAGGGACCGCGCCGCGCGATGACAAACCTGCGAGCCTGCGACTAATTGTTATGATTAATATTTTTAAATATTATTATTATTATTGTTGTTTTTATATTGATATTATTATAGTTATTTATTGTTATTAATTTAAAAATTATTATTAAAGATTAGTCTTAAAGATTTTTAACAAAGGTGAATTAGAAACATTTGTTTGTTCATTCAGCAGTGCATTGTTACCATTATTATTTTTTTATATCTCCAACTGTTCCAACACACACAGCCTCTGCCCCTTACTACAAGTATGTAAGACTTCAAACGAATGGTCGCTGGCTAGGTTGTGTCCAGTGTCCAAGAGATGTTTAGCAAAATGGGATTTATCAGGATTGCAATTTCTGTACGCGGCCAAATGCTCTTTATAGCGCGTCCCGAAATTGCGACCAGTCTGACCCACGTAAACGGCGTGGCATTCGTCACAAACAAGTTTATAAACATCCGATTTTTGACTAATATTTAACTTATCTTTATTATTAAAAATATTCCCAAGCGAATTGTTTGTTTTGTATGCCACGTTAATGCCGTGTTTGATATTGCGCTAGAATTGGAATTTAGGCAATAGCAAAACAGTAACGTTTTAGGATTTGTGTTGATTTGGTTTAATTATCTTATTGGTTGCTATAAATTATTATATAATGACACGTTTAGCTCTTGCATCTACTATTCTACGCTTTAATCGTGCATTAGAATTAAACTAAAGTTGAAAAAAGCTTCAAATTATGCATTTTAAGGCCTTAAGTTTTTTTCTATAAGTGATAACGATTTCAGAGCGAATTACTGTATTATCAAGGACTTCAGTGAGAAAATAGTGCATGAATAATAACCTTAATATGACCCTTCGTAGAGAATATATTTTATGCATCGATATAAATAGTATATTAAATCTATGATTTTATGATTAAAATGAAGTAATGTTAACAAAAAAAATTACGGCCTTTATTTTTAATTTGTTTTAAAGTAAGTGTTTAATAGAACAAATGTTTTAAATAGTTAAACGGCAGAAAGTTTTAATGAGAATTGTTAAGATATCTCAAGTATTATCTAAAGCATCCCACTGCTGGACAGAGGTCTCTTCTTATGTCTAAGAGGTTTATTGGCGAGTGTTACATGGAAAGGAAATATGAATGTATTTTAAAATTACACTATATATATTATATAGGTAACATACATAATTTTAATAACATATAACGTAACATAAACACTCACTCCTGTCACCTAGAGGGTAGGGTGAGACTACATACTTACATTTGGCATTTGGCCCCATTTACTTTATTTCCCGTGTTCACTCGTTGTTTTTTTTTTAATAAGGATTTGTTAATAAAATTCTGATACAAATTTAAACATTTATATAATACATAAATATTTCTATCCAAAATTAAATGATATATTCATTCTACCTCATATATGCCTCCTATATGCATAAATCCGTTTTGGATTCACGCATAAACAAGCTTACTGATAGCACACAATCGAGCTATATCACACAGAGATTTAAACGAGGAAGGGAAGATGACATAACTTCTGAACTGAATGATTTTAGAGGAAATAAAAAATTTATTTTCATCGTCTATAGCTACGCAACAATTAGAACTTCAAGCTATCACCAGTAAAATTAAGGAAATTCAGCAATCGAATAATAATATTGATAATTCTATCGCTATCCTGACTAGCCAAAACGAGGACTACAATAATAAAATAGTTCAAATGGAGATCCAAGCCAAAAAAGACAGAGAATACATAACCTTACTAGAGGAGAAAGTTGAAGACATACAAAGAGACAATCAGAAAACTAAAATTGAGATAAAAATGTACCAATTATAAACAGTGAAACAAAGGAAGATCTAATAAGCATGGTCCAACACTTGTCCAAACATCGACTGTAAGATCGATAAATCCGATATAAAGGATATCTAGATTACAGAGTGTGTACAAAAACCTGAAAAAATGAAAATACTAAAAAACTTCCCGTTGTAGTAGAACTGGAATCCACCATTTTGAAACGCGATGTAATGAGGATGTCGAAATCATTTAATATTAAAAATAAATATAAACTTCAAGCAAAGCACCTCGGATTTACGACAAAAGAAGATACACCCGTTTTTGTTTCCAAACAACTAACTCCCAAAAGCGCTCGACTATTTTTTCTAGCCAGAGATCTTGCAAAATCTAAGACCTTTAAGTTCTGCAGGAAGTCCTTTGGTCGAGTTTTTGTGAGAAAGGACAAGAATTCTCCAGTTATTGTAAAAAGAAACGAGTCTTTTTACAATAACTGGAACTATTAAACTCTCACCATCTTCTGCAAGAAAGTTCACAAGCATGACTCAATGGTTTCATCCAATTCTTGTCATCTTCACTAATATTATTAGTGATTAGTTACATTGTATTATTTATGTGTATAGTTCTAACTGTAGGTATTAAAATCTGTGTAGCTATTCTGTCTATTATAATTTGTAGTTCAATTACTGACAAAAAACCTCCTATGGTATCTTCACTCACAGTCATATATAACACACTTTTGAATCATACAATACACTCACACAGCTCATACTCACGCAATCATCACCCATTTACATGTTGATTCTTATTTACAAACATTAACTCTAAGGTTGGTTGTTCTTGTTTATTTCAGACCTTTCTCGAATAAATACCATTACATCATTACACTAAAAACAAACCTTTTGGCTAAACCATCTATACAATATCACTTATGTTCTCATACAACTAATGATAATAAATCGGCAAAGTACTTTATTTATTTTTATTGCAAACATGGTTATAGTTAACTCTTTAAGCACAATAAGGACTAGGATCAAGTTGATATAGCTAACCATATAAGTTGTGATATATAGAACCTAACAAAGTGTATAAGTATTGGTAAAACGAAACTTACCATATTGTGTCAAAACATTAGAAGTATTTATCGTAACATTGATAACCTCCAAGCTAGGTCCATGAAGTTGGCACCCGGAAATAATTATTAAATATGCGACTATTATAAATCAATTGCGCGTAAAAATGATGTTTATCGGTACAAATTATTTGTTTGCGCGTCAAATATTTGTTTAGATATTTAAAAAAGTAAGATGGATGCTGTAAAATAAACAAATTTTTATTTTTTGCTTAAAAATTGTGGTAAAAGATTGATTAAACAATGTAAATTTGCAGATTTTCACATGCGTAATCAGCACCCGATATCAGTTTATCCATACGTTATTAATTTATATCGTAAATAAATAATTAAATAATCCCATAACTTTAGCGGCAGCGTCCCAGCTCGAGAGTGAAATATCCCTAGTACGCTGGCGCTTAAAGCGCTTTTTTCTTTAGTTGGCAGCAATAG